GAGAGAGAGAGAGAGAGAGAGAGAGAGAGAGAGAGAGAGATGGGGAAGGGAGATTCTATGTATGAATATGAAATTCTGTTTTATTTCTTTTATTTTTATTTCCCTTTTTAGGCGTGGGATAGTAAGGGTATTTGTATGAAAGTTATAAGAAAATATCGTTCGACTTGGAAAGGGGAAGAAAAACACATACATCTAAAGGTGAACTTGGACGAAGAAGCCAAATTAGGTGTATGTATGTGTGTATATACATAATTATATAATTTGATATATATATATATATATTATATATATATGTATTATTATTATATACGTAATTGAAAGGTAACTCTTGAAGGCTAAAATGGAGGAAACTATTACCAGCTGGAAAGGGCTGAGTGGGGTTCCGATCAAGCATAAAATGACCCCGGATAATATTTATGTGCGTCTTTCATGGTGACTGTTCGCCTAGGATGGTGTTGGTTGGTCCGTATTTTCCTGGCAAGGGTTTTTAATAATATAATAATTCTGTTTGTGTATTTCAATGGCTGTTTCTAGTGGCTTTGCGTCGGCCCTGCGTTCAAAAGACGCTGTATTGTGGTTGGGGGGCCCCCTGTGGTCTGGTTGGCGACTACAGAGAGTGGGAATTACGCGCTTGTTGCTCACCTCAATGGGTGGAGACTGAGAGGGTAGAGTTTAGTTAAAGAGTTTTGTGGTGTAGAGTTATAAAAGTGGATCATACACATACTACGCAGACTTTGGGTTCAGGTGGAGCTGTTGGTGGTTGGCGGGTGTTCTGATGTGGTTTGCTCCTTCTTTCCTATCGAACATCTATCGTCTTTATCTCCCCTTCTTCTTTTGTATGTTTGTTACTCTCTTGTAACACCTCTAATCTTCTGAGGTCATATGACCATATGCAGTTGCGAGCGCCGTAAAACCTCTACTAAAACTATGAGGGAAAAAAAACATCCATCGTCCCTATAAGATTCTCCTTCGTTAGTGGTTGGTGGGTATTTGGATTGCTTGCTCCTTCTTTCCCACCAAACATCTATCGTACTTATCTCCCGTCCTCCTTTTCTTAGTGTGTTGCTCTGTGGCAACGCTCTAATCTTCGAAGCGTACTTGACCTATTGGTGTTGAAAGAGCCGTAAAACTCTTACTACAGAGCTTAGACTTGGTGGAACATCTAGACCATTGTGCTGATGCATGTCCATTCACAGGAAAGAGGAAAAAAATCCACTCAATCAATGTTGGTTATTGAAATCTTAAGTTGTATTCGCTTCTCTATCTTTGGTCTTGCCTTTTTTCAGCACAAAATGCCATTTCTTGTGACCATATTTTCTTTTAACTCAAGCAACAGCAACAACAACAACAAGAGCAATAACAACAACAGCAACAATAACAACAACAACAACAACAGAAACAACAACAACACCACACCACTCAAACAATGCACCAAAACCACACCACTCAAACAATGCACCAAAACCACAAGATTTATACCTATTTCCATCTTTAAGTTAACCTACAGTAGGCCCACAATATAATCTATCACTTCAGATGACATATTCACCAACCTTGGAAGATTTAAGCATCTTTCCCTGGGGCAGCAGCCCTGTTGTCTATCACTTCTCCCGATTTCCTGTGCGCTTACTGGCCCACATAGATGCGGACATTAAAGGACAAACGATCTTGTCTATGGCCTATGATTGCCTCCAACTACTCAGTTACAGATTTTTATCTCCAGTTGAAAAAGCCAGAAATTCCGGTTTAACTGCTGCATGTTTGGCCCATAGATTACACAGCGTTCTTTATCTGCCCATTTTTCTTGTGCATATTTTTACTCTTTCTCTCTCTTTCTTTCATTATCTACTCGCTTTCTCTCTCTCTCTCTCTCTCTCTCTCTCTCTCTC